TTCTGTGGCGAAGCAGGTCGCAATTCAATTCAATTAAATTCCCTCTTCCCTTCCTCCTCCCTCACTCCTCCTCCATCCCCCCCCCTCCCCTCCATCCCCCTCGCTCCCCCTCGCTCCCTCCTCCTCCCCCCGTCGGTGATCCCCCTCCTTCCAGGCCGCGTCTGTGGCCCAGCGGCTGACTTTCCGCCTGTTCCCCAAAATCATCCTGTGATGCTTTATCCCGCAACGGCCTCTTGAAGGCTCAGGCTTTGAAAGACCCCTCGGCTCGAACACGACCCAGCGCCCATGTCACCGGCCACCGCCGCCGTTGGCCTCCCGCTGCTGCTGCTGCTGCTGCTGCTGCTGCTGCTGCTGCCGCTGCTCCAGTTCCTCCTCCTCCCGAAGAGGTATATATGGGGCCCCTCTTTATAAGGGTCGGGGCGCCTGCGAGAATGCTTCTTGGATGGCCCGCGTGCCTCGAAGACGGCCCCAGCCTCCTCTGCGCGCCCTGGGGGGCTCGCCCTTACCTCCTGGAGGTCGCCTGCGGAACTGACGACAAGACAGGTCTGTCTCGTCCCTTGCTGCTGCCTGCTGGCCCGCCTGTCCTTTACCTCCTGAGAATGAGAATGCCCACACTCGTTTCAAATGTGGTTATCGCCTCAGCGCCGCGCACATTCATTTTAAACATTCGCAAGAGTTTCACAGGATCGCATGGCCAGCGTACCAGGAATCGTGTTTTGAAGCGATTCAGGATTGCCAGGGCGCAACAGTCACGTTGATTCGAGGTGTTGAAGTCCCATGAAAGGTGCCTGATGCGATTCAGTCTCCGAGAACGGTGCTGTGGCGCGCCTCAAGATTTTCGCACGGCTGTCCCGCAACGGGACAACTCCCTCAGTGGAAATGAGCCCTTGTCGGGGCCTACGAAGAGGGAACTTGCAGGGAGGGTGTATTCCAACATCGTTGATGAGTTTTGGGTTTGCACCAGTCCTCGTCCTCCTTCTCCTCCTTCTCCTCCTATTGCTCCTCCTCCTCCTCCTCCGCCTCCTCCTCCTCATCCGCATCCTCCTCCTCCTCCTCCTCCTCCTCCTCCTCCTCCTCCTCCATCCTCCTCCTCCTCCTCCTCCTCCTCCTCCTCCTCCTCCTCCTCCTCCTCCCCCTCCTTCTCGTCCCCCGCGGAAGGTCTTCCTCCTCCTCCTGCTCCTCCTGCTCCTCTTGCTCCTCCTCTCCTCCTCTTCTTCCCCCTCCTTCTTTCCTCCCCCTCCTCCTCCTCGTCTCGTCCTCCTCTCCCTCCTTCCTCCATCCTCCTCCTCCTCCTCCTCCTCCTCCTCCTCCTCCTCCTCCTCCTCCTCTCCTCAAAGAATGTCCTCCTCCTCCCCGATCCTTCGTGGGAAGGCGGCGCAGCGCCGCGAGGCCTCTCGGTAAATCGGTGCTCAACCGCTCGCTCAGGCCCTGTGCCGCCAGCAGAACGCGCCGCCGAATCGCCCCTCCCCCCTCCCCGGGACGCGGATGCACAGGGCGCGGACGTCAACTCCTCGTGCTCCTTTTTTCTCGATCGGCGGCGAGCCCGGGGGGGAAGTGTCGGGGGCGCGCAAGCGTGGATTGGCGATCCATGGATGTGGCGCGCGGTCGCCAAATCCATGGATCGGGGGAGGTGCCCTCTCCAAAATGCGGCCTGTGCTGCCTCGTTCGGCGGCGGAAATCCGCGATTTCCCATGGAAGCGGGACCCGTTGCTAATCCACGCCCCCTTGATCCATGTTTGCGATCGCCTGATTCAACTCCTCGTGATCGGCGGCGAACCCAGGGGGAAATGAGAAAGGGCGGGCCTTCTCAGAAGGCTCGGCTCTTTCCCGAAGACAGAGAAAATGTCTCAGGATGCGCGAGGGCTTCTGAGAAGTCCCTCCGGCTTCTGAGAAAGCCTTCCTCTTCTCACTCTCCCCCCTCGCTCGCCGCCGACTTGAGGCGTCGCATCAGCCTGGTGCCCGTGGGCGTGCGCCGGCAGCATGAACAAATATGGTACAGGGCAGTCTTTAATACATGGGACTTTTAACATATAAGATTTGTAATGCACGATTAATTTTCACATAAATTTATGCATGAACTCATCGTTGTTTTTAGTACTACATCCTTGCATTTTTAATACATGATCCGCGCGCGGAGCATGTATAAAAAAACGGCACTGTATTTGGTTTTCATGGCGCCGCCAACGACTCAGCCTGGGCCCTGGGGTCGGCCCCAAGGGTGCGACTTCGCCTCGAGGTCGTCCACAAAAGGTCATCTCCTTGGTCCTCTTTCTTTTTCCTCCTGGTCCGTTGGCGGCAAGCCCAGGGGGGGAATCCTAAGGGCGCCGCCTGGGGCAGCCTGAAGGGCGCTTGGGTCCCACATCGGAGTCGGCGAGGGGTGCCCGAAACTTATCGATTTGTTATGCATGAGCGATGGGTGCCACGTTTTTGTTCTGCCTTGCGTTCCCACGGGATCTTCGGGGCCAAGGGGTCGGGTCGAAGTTGAAGATCAGCAGATGCGCGCTGCATGCTGTTTTTCTGACATTGGATGGTGAGGGGTGGGTCGGATGAATGTGCAACGCGCTGTTTGTTACATAGGATGGCGATGGGTTGGGTCGGATGGATGTGCCGAATTTGATTTGTTAGGTCGGGTGATGGAGGTTGGGTCGTATAAGTGTTCACCGGACAAATACTTTGCGTAGGATGGTGAGGATTAAATCGGGTGAGTATGCAACGCGCGCATTTTGAATATAATGGTAATGGTTCGGTCGTATGGATGTGCGTCGAACAGGAATGTAGGTTGCATAAGATAGTGAGGGTTGGGTTGTATGGATGTGAGCAGAGTTGTATTGGTTGCGTCGGATTGTGAGGGTGGGTCGGATGGATGTGCACCGGGTACGTAATGCTTTACAGGATGGTGAGGGTTGGGTCGTATGGATGTGCGCGGCGCTATGGCGAGAACCACATTTTGAGGCGGAGTCGGCCTCCATCCTTGAAGCTGTTGCAATTTTTGGGGACGACTTCGCGCGGCGCTGAAGCGAGAATCGCATTTTGAAAACGAGCCGGCCTCCATCATTGAAGCGGTGACACCTCTTTTAACTTCACGAGTGTGCGCGACGCGAAAGCGAGTTTCATTTTGAAACCAACCCAGGCTCCAGCTTTGAAGCTGTTCCAAATTTCAAGCGTCAATCTCATGAATGGTGCAGAAATCTCGAGCGAAACACCCGGCCTGGTCTAAGGTGACACGTCCAGAAGGTGCGGCAGGGATGAATCATCTATGAGGACAAGGCGTGGAGGAGGACCGGATCGGGCTTGGGCTAGTGGAGTTCGGCCGTGTGCTCGAAGCTATCGCGAGCCAGGCAAGGTGATGTACCAACGTCGTCGCCAACCTGTTGCTCACCAATGATTTCTTGTATGTTCACTTGAGCATCTACGTCATAAATCAGCGTGTTGCTCTTTCTGCCTATATATATATATCGCGATGGATACTCAACGCCACTTTGCGATACAACGTTGAGGGGCGAGAGCGCCGGTGGCTGCCAACCTCGCAGGACGGCCCCTGCCCTCGTGCAGGGCCGCGCTGCCCCTGCAGAGGCCCCCCCCCTGCGGGGGCACGCAGCCAAGGGAGGGAGGAGGAAGCGGAGGAGGATGGGGAGGACAGGAGGCTCGAGGGGGAGGATCGGGGGAGGGAGAGGAAGATGAGAGGAGGGGGAGGAGGAGGGGGAGGGGGAGGAGGACAAGTTAGGTGCGCTCGCGTCAACATCTGACATCCTACCCCTCCCTCCCATCCCTTACCATGGCGCTGATTTTCTCTATCCGCGGACGCGTGTCGTAGCGGACCTGTGGCTCCGCGCGCGTGTGCGTAGTGGGTGGTGGTGCGCGTGCGTGCGTGCGTGTGTGCGTGGTTGTGGTTGTTGTGTGGTTGTGTGTGTGTGTGTGTGTGTGTGGTGTGTGTGTGTGTGTGCGTGTGTGCGCGTGTGCTGTGGTGTGACGTGGTGTGGCGTCTTGGTGGTTTGGTGGTGGGCCAGGTGCGTACGTGCGTGATGGCGGTGGTGGTGGTGGCGGTGGTGGTGTGTGTGTGTGTGTGTGTGCGTGTGTGTGTGTGTGTGCGTGTGTGCATGTGTGTGTGTGTGCGTGCGTGCGTGCGTGTGTGTCTGTGTGTGCGCGCGTGTGATGTGGTGTGACGCGGTGTAGCGTGGTGGTGGTGGGTGAGGTAGTGAGGTGGTGGTGGCGGTGCGCGGTGGTGGTGCGCGTGCGTGCGTGCGTGCGTTGGTGGGTGGAAGTGGCGGTGGGTGTGCGTGCGGCGGGGCGGGGCGTGGTGCGGCGCGGTGGTGGCGGGCGGATGGGCGCGCGAGAAAGAGGCCCGCGCTGGGGCGAGAACGCCATCCTGAACGACGGAGGCAAAACACCGATCCGAAAATGAGGCCCACGCTGCAGCGGGAGCATGATTCGGAACGATTCGGGAGCAGAAATGAGGCCGGCGCCTCAGCGAGAGCAGCATGTGGAAAAACAACGCAGGCGAAAATCCAACTCCGGGGAACCGTGTGTAAAAAACAATACGCGGGGGGGGGGCGAATACGCAAAAGACGACGTCATCAGGGGAAGAGGGAGAGTAGTATTCATATTGAGTAACTGTGGAGGAGGAGGAAGAGGAGGAGGAGGCGGAGGAGGAGGAGGAGGAGGAGGAGGAGGAGGAAGCGGAGGAGGAGGAGGAGGAGGAAGCGGAGGACCGAGGAGGATTGATGAGGCGGAGGGTCTTTCGACCACATGAGGCTCGTTGTCACCCCGTAGCCAGAAGTCCGACTCATTGACTTTTTTCAACATAGGGTCCCTGGAAGTCCCGACCCTTTCCCCGGGGCTGGATTTACATCATGAATCGTTTTCTGACGGTCCTGGGGCCGTCGAGTCTCGAGCCCCGGGAGGCCGAACACGGCTAAAAGCCTCCGTCTTGATTTTGTTTCAATCTGCTGGATGCCTGGGCAGAGGGGCAGGAGGATAGTCGGGGAGGGGAGGCGCCTGGCGCTGCGCCGCGTCCTCCAACAGCCGGAGCGGCAGGCGCCGGAGGTCCGTCGCGAGCGCGCGCACGCCCAGAGAGGCGGCGGTCATGGAACCTGCGGGGAGGAGCGACGCGAAGAAGGACTAACTGCCCTTGATATCCAACGTACTGGCAAATTCAAGACAGTCTTTTCTTTACCCTCGCCTCGCTTTCGCCTCTTGGGCCTCCTGGGCAGCCCTCGTCGTCCTCAAAAATCTGGTCTGGTCAGAACGCACCCCAGGAGAAGCCCTGGGAGTATCGGTATCGGTATTTTCCAACGTACTGGGCCAAAACAAACAGATTTTATCGTCGGACTTTTGGGGCCCTCGCTGGGCCCCTGGGAAACCAGCAAACGACTCGGGGTGAACAGTCGGCTCTGGGGAGTGTCGGGACTTCCAGGGACCTCGTGTTGAAGGAACCAAGACATCGGACCTCTGGCGAGGCGGAGAAGGACTACGCCGCTTGGTCGCTTCAGCGACTCGCTGACCCATGAGGAGGGAGGACCCAGAGATCGACAAGTCGCCGATCGTTGAAAGTTGAACGAGCCACGCTGTCGTCACGATCCACGGCGGCGATCGCTGAAGGTTGAATGAAAGAAACCAGCGGCGGGCTCGTCGCGAAACGAACCCGCCGCAGGTCCGTCTAGGTGATGCAGAAGAAATGCACCAACATCCAGCTGGAGCTTTTTTCACAAACGGGCGTTCTTGCAGGGTTTCGGAGCTCCAGACCATCGCAGATCAATGCGGTTTGAAAAATGCAGCATAAAGGATGTGTCTAGGGCCCAAATCGATTTTTTGTGCGATGTCCGCGACGCCGGATCTCAGGGGGGGGGAGCGGGATGAGGCGGAGAAGGATGATGATGAGGAGGAGGACCAGAATAATTCTAAGGTGCGTCATCGATACTGCAATGTGCCCTCCCGTCCCAGGTGTTCGACGCCCGGAAAGGGCACGGATCAACTGGACAACGTCCGCGGCGGCGCGGACGGCGAATCCTGTTCAACATGAACAAATGCTACTGTAATTGGGCACGGACCGACTTAGAACATGAAATCGATGTGATACAACAAGGCAATCTCAGACAGAAATGCTCCATAACATTTCGCGCAAACCACACAAACTTCTTAAAACATGTGTTGGTGGACCTATAGGCAACCCAAGACGCTTTGCCACGGCTTGATGTTGGGCATCGTGTCCATTATTTCCGTACAGTCGGACTTGGGTTAGAAGAACATCCTTCCAGAACGCGAGACCCTCCGCCAACATAAACACACAGAACGTCCACGGGTACCCTCCCCCAGGATGCACCAGAGCTTCCAGCGAACCCGAAGAAAATTTGGGTACCCTCCCCGAGCCGACCTCGATCTTTGACATCGGTCAAACTGTAAAATAGTTGTTCGTGCCGACAGGTCCCCTCCTCACACGTCCCTTTCCGCTGCAGGAAGCACGCCCCCTTTCGAAAAACACGCGCCCCATGCAGGCCAGCCACTCCTGCGGCAGCCCCCCTGGTTTTGTAGAGAGGCAAAGCTCTTGCACTTCTAGCTAGGGGCTTCAAGGAAGTCTCAGTCGAGAGGCACCATCCCTCGGACGTCCCTTCACCGTGCATGTTTCGACTTCGTGCGTAATTTTCCGCAAGATAATCCAATGCTACTCGGTGGCCATCACCGAAGAACGAACGCATGCGCACGTCCGATCGATGCCAAGTGAGAACAGTTCGAGCTTCTTTCTGCTCTTTGAGTTCAAGGAGGTATTAGGCAACAGACTCATCTGGGAAAGGATTCGTCATGCACCCATGAGGCTGCTGCAATATTCGGCAACTCATGTGCGCGTGGCCAAGGCGAGAGCTTCATTTTTGAAAAGAAGCCGCCCTCCATCCTTATGACTGATGAGAGCGTTTAAGACGAATGTGTGCGGCGCCGAGGCGAAATCTCCTTCTTGAAAACGGCCTGCCCTCCATCATCTCAGCTGTTGGAGACTACTAAGACGTATGTGTGAGCGATGAAGCGAGATCTCTATTTTGAGAACGACCGAGGCCTCTATTATACCTGTCGGGTTTTTGTTAAGCAAATGTGCGCGGCGCGTGTGGGCGAGAACGCCATCTTGAAGACTACTTGCCCTCCATTTTTGTAACTGTTCGGAATTTCCAGCTTCAGGAGCATGCTGTGGTCAACAGTCTCAGGCGAAACGCCCAGCCCGCCGTACCGGCACGTCTTAAATCAGACGAGGAGGGGTTACATACATCTGAAGATAAGCACACACATATATGTATATGTACATATAGAGATACACGTATATTAAAGGAACAGAACCTGTGCCGAAGGTGGAGGAGGAGGAGGAAGGAGAGAATCAGGAGAAGGCCCTCCTCCTCCTCCTCCTCCTCCGCCAACTCCTCCCCCCTTCCTCCTGAATCAGAGGAAGAGGTGGCCAAGACCACTTCGCGTCCGCCTCGTCCCTGGAGGAGTGAGCCTCAGAGTGCGTGTGTTGACGCCCGCACGCGGCGCCGGGGGTGCAGCGAGGACCGACGCCGGCCGCGTGCCGTCGGCGGAGCTGCAGCGGGGGTGGGCACGCACCGGGCCGCCACACGGCCCGCCCCCGGGGGCGGTCCTCCCAGAGTGCAGGCGCATGGGGCCCGCGGCCCCCGTCACGCTGGAAGGTCTGTGACTGTCGCAGCAGTGCTGCAATCTGTGGGAAGGCAGCACCAGGAAAAAACCGAGATGCAAGTGCGCCACGCAGGGCTCATCGAGGGTCGTCGACACGATGGGTGGAGGAAAATAAAACGACGCGAAGATCGGGACAAAATCGGATCGGGTTAACTCGAAATCTCTGAGAATCGGCGGGTTTGGAGGATGTATTGGGCGCCGCGGCCGCTCCAGAGCGTTCTGGAACGCTCTGAGAGCGCTCCGGAACGCTCTGGAGCGATTTATCCCGATCCTAGCCCTGTTTTAGAAAGGGGGGGGGGCGGGCAGCCCTCGGCTGTGATGAGTGTCTCTGGTTCGGCCGCGCCTCGGCCGAACTGGCCGGCCCGTCAAGACAGCCCTGGGCAGCCGCCCGCCTCGCGCTTCGGGTGGGCGGGCTGCGGGCTGCGGGCTGCGGCCCCGGGGGCTGGGCGAGCCTTCATGGACGCCTCTGTGGACCTGAGAGCGTGATTTCGGCCAGGTTTCGCCCAAGCTTCGAACTCTTGCTTGAACCCTTGCGTCCAGATTTCGTCCTGATTTCGTCCAAATGTCGACTCACTCCGGACAACATCCCCCAAACCGGGCTGGAACGGGCGGCTGGACCATACAGCAGGGGTTGCCAGGGGTGGCCCTGGCCCAAAGGCAGACTCAATCAGCATCGACTCGAATCAAGACGTGCGGTAGTTGGAATCGAGTCGGAATCGAGTCGGATCGGTCGCGCCAAGATGCACAACGGCGACGTGCAAGCCTCGGGCCGCATCGGATCGCCGGAGCATCGAAATCGGATCGGATCGGGCCGGCCGAAACCGATATCGCATCGGAGCGATCGGATCGACATGGGCCCTCCATCAACTCTTCGCGCCGTCCTGGGCCTCCCTGGGGCCCACGATGAGCCTCTTGGAAGAGCGCGGTGCGCTGGAGGCCGAGAAGGGCCCCCCCTGGAGATCCTGCGCCCCCCCCCCTCTCCCCCCCAGGCCAGGGGCACCAGATGGGCAACGACCACAGGCGGAGAATGTGAAGTGGATGGGTTGGCCTGCCTCCGCGGAGACGGGCCCCAGAGCCACAGACGGGGAGGAGGAGCATCAGCAAGAGGAGGAGAAGGCAAGTCAGCAAGAGCATCAGCAAGAGGAGGAGGAGATGGGAGGAGCATCAGTCAGCAAGAGGACGAGGAGGAGGAGGAGGAGGCAAGTCAGCCCAGCCGAACGAGTCATCGGGGCCTGCCCACTCCCACCCTCTCCCGTAAAACAGCGATGCTGGCACTGGAGCGCGTTCCATCCTAGCGAACGGAAGGCGGTCGCGCGCGCGGTCCCGCTTACGGCGGCTTGGCGAAGGGAGAACTGCGCGGGCCGCGCAGGGGCGGGAGCAGCAACACTTCCGATGAGCGCGGCGAATGCGAAGCACGCGCCGCTCCGAGGTAGCACTGCCATTCTCACGCGGTAAACTGCGCGGCGCCTCGGCGAGGGCAGCATTTCGCCCGCTCTCGCGCGGCCCCGCTGTCGCTGCCGCCTCCAGTCGATTCGGCGAATGAAACAAGCGCCACGCCCGCGCGGGGACGCCACTTTGAGTTGCTCGCTCGCGCGGGGCCACAAAAACTTGGCGAGCGAAAAATCTGCAATGCGCCGAAGCGGGAACGCCACCTTCTCTGCGCCTGTCGAGGCGAGAACGACGTTTTAGTCCGCTCGCGCGTTGACGACTTGGCGTGCGAAAGATGTGTGCCGCGCCAAAGCAGCAGCTCAATGCTCGGCGGCGCCGAGTCGAGAGAGGCATCTCGCCCTCTCGAGCGTGATGAGCGCCCCGCTCCACTTCTGCCACGCATTTTGCGACGTGGACGACAGAACGCTAATAACAGAACGCGAACTTCGCCTTCAGGTAGGATTGGGCATCCTGGAGGGGGTTGCTATCGGCCGGCTATGTGGCAGCGTGGTAGTCTACTCAACGATGGTGAGGACAGGAGGAGGAGGCGGAAGAGAAGGAGGAAGAAGAGCATGGCTCCTTCCGTCCCCCCTCCGTAAGCGGCCGCGCGCGCCCCTCGGGAGGGACCCAGATCTGCGGGCGGCCGCGGGCAGAAGTCAAGGCGGGAGCTTCTCCCTTTGATTTCGCCCGCCCCCCCCCCCCCCCTCCCCTCCCCGGGGGGGGGAGCGCTCTCGGGCCACAAGGGGCCGTCAGGCAGCTGCCCGAGACGAGATGTCGGCCCTGGGCTGGGGTCACGAGGGCTTCGGGGGCCCACGCCGTGAGAAGACCGCGAAGTCGGAGGTCTGGAGGTGAGGACGGACGAAGACGGAGGGAGGGGAGGGTTACCGAGCTCGCTGCAGGCTTCAGGGGTACCTGGACCTATCTTTAGGGATGAGGCGGGTGTCGGCGAAGTGCTGGAGACTGCGGGGCAGCTTGCGGGAAACTGTGTTTCCAGAACCCAGTAGTTGGATGACAACAGGAGAAGGGGAGGAGGAGCAGGAGGAGGAGGAGGAGGAGGAGGAGGAGGAGGAGGGAGGCGGAGGAGGAGCAGGAGGAGGAGGAGGAGAAGGAGGAGGAGGAGGAGGCGGCGGCGGCGGAGGAGAGGGATGAGGACCGAGGAGGCGCATAGAGGAGGGGCAGGAGGGGCGAGGGCGGAGGAGGGACGAGGATGGAGGAACAATGACGATGGAGGAGGGAAGAGAACGGAGGAAGGATGATGATTGAAGAAGGGTGGGGCTTGAGGGAAGATGACGGAGTAGGGAGGGTAAGCATGGATGAGGATAAAGTAGGGAGGTGGAGGAGGAGAAAGAGGAGAAGGAGGATGCGGTCACTCGGGGCCACTTGATTTGGATCGCCTCAATGCACACGCTGGCGTTGAATCCACCGCCGTGCGAACACCACTGGCTCCATCGTGACTGCGTTCGTGCCGCTGCCCGCCGGAGGCCCTCTCGCACCTGTGCTGCCAACTCTCCGCCACCGTGCCTCGAGGCACGAAGAGGAGTGCTCCCAGGGCTTCTAGAGTTTTGCCATCGCTCGGACCTCTATTCCTCGTCTAGGTGTCGGTTTTGTGTGCTATTTCTACCAGGTGATCCAGGATGCTCCTCGATGGCCATCGCCGAAAACAAATGCACAATCCCGAGCGATGCCAAGGAGTTCTCTGTACTACGTATTCAATATTAAACAACTCAGATCAGGGGCAGGGAGCCAACAATCTCGAATCGGTCGCGCGCGCTCTCGCGCGCTCCTAGGCTTCCTCGCGTGGATGTTTGCCAGAAGCCCGAGGGGCCCCGACGGGTCACGAGGGCCCAACAGGCCCCCGCGACGGTCCAAGATGGCATCGTACAGCTCCAAGACGCCCAGGATGGCCCACAGACTGCCGTAGACTCCACCAAGACGCCCCAAGAGGATCCCGAGATGCCAGAATCATTAATCACCCGTCGGTTTTTGACAGATTTTAGTGCTCTCGCCTATTCGGGCTCTCGACGCTCCAAGACGGCCCATGAGGCCACCATCGCCCAGTGACGGCCCAGAGGACCCAAGAAGGCCCCAAGGCGGCCCACGAGTCCCCCAAAACGGGCAAATAGGGCCCCGAGGGTGGCCCAACAAAAGCTCCAGAGGGGAGCACGAAACGACACGTCGAGCCCTTAGACCCCCAAATGGCCCCCGAGACCGCCAGCCGGCCAAAAAGCTCCCGCAGACCACCGAGAGGCCCCCGAAGACACCCCAAAACCAAATCCAAGCGGCTTCCGAGAGGCCTCCCCAAAGGTCCCTTCAGGCATCCCAGAGGCCTCTGACTTACAACCCAGGCACGGTGGCGGGATGAGCCAGAGGTCACCAGAAACCATGCCATGCGTTGATCGATCATTTCCCTTCGACCTGCTTTTTTCTAATTTACCTTCTCCTTGCATTCGGGTGTACATGCCACGTATTTCTCGTTGACTATCAGACCCAAGAGGCGAACAACAACGTTCAGAACACCTTTCTTGCCACCTGACTCTTGCCCCACAAATTCCTGATGTACCGACGGGGGTAACTTCCGCCGCAGCGCTGCAGACGCAATCCGCACGCGCGCTCTCGTGGACCAGGCAATGGCAGGCACGAGTTGTCTGGCGGCAGGAGGGGGAATACAAAGGGCGAAGCGCGGCCGCGGAGGGAGGGAGAGGAGGGAGGACACTCACAGCGCGAAAGACTTCGACTGGAGTGGCCGGGCGGCCAGCCTGTGCTGACGCTGCCTGACAGTGGACGCGGGGCGGCATCGCGGCCAAGCCCAGGCGCTGAGGCGCAGGCTGCAGTGTGAGAGCGGAGCCAAGTCGTACCAACACTCGGGGGGGTGAGCGGCGAGCGAGCCCACACGGGCGGGCGGCATCCAGGTGTCCGACGGGGGCAACACGGGAGCCCGATGTCTGCACACCGCGCCGCGAGGGCCGCGAACCCGCCCGACCTGGTCGGGCCGGGCCGGGAGCCCTCGGCACCTCAACCCTGGCCCTGTCCGTAAGCCGCGGGCCCGGGCCCAGCGCGCAACTCCGTGTCAGCGGAGGGAGGAAGCAGAAACGGCACAAGCATAAACTTTCGGGGGTCCGCGCGGATGTCTCGGATCCGCGCTGCACCCCCCTCCCTGGCGCGCGGTGCGAGCCAGGCCCAGCGCAGATCACAGAAATCCGCGCGGAGCTCCGAGAGTGCATGCGGACGCCATTTCTCGTCTTGGAGTTAGACTCGAGCTCGGGCCAGCTATGCAGCTGCACGTGTGCCTGCTTCTGGCTCCGTGGAGGACCTCCGCGCGCGGTCCCCTCCGTCCTCCGAGTTCGCTTCGGCCGTGGCTCCACGTCGGGAGGGCCTGCCCGGCGCGCCCACCGCCAGCTACCACCACCAGCGAACGAACGCACGCTCCTGGGGCAACCAGAGATCCTCATGCCGCCACTCCCCGGGCCTCTCCCCGGGGGCGTTCTGACCAGAATCTCGAAGCGCATCGGCCGTGGCGACGAGGGCCCTCCAGGAGGCCGATGATGGTGGAAGAAGGAGGCCAGGGCCATGGCATCGGCCCCGTTCTTCCCCCCCTGGGCTCCACCGCGCCGAAGAGCGTCCACACGGATGCCCCATACAGGCTTCGCAGCGCAGTGTCCCGGGCCAGTCTGCCCGAGAGCCTGCATCGGCCGCTTGCCGGGTCTCTGCTCACGTACTGCCTGCGCAGGAACTCGGCGGCGAGCGCGGCGCGCTCGCGGGGCGAGGCGGCCCCGTACTCGCGCGAGGTGGCCGCGTGGTAGTGCAGCAGCGCGGGCGCCGTGGAGACGGCGGACGACAGCAAGCACGCGGCGAAGTCTGCCGGCAGCCGCGAGGACGGGGCGCCCCACCCCAGCGAGGAGTGCGCGCGCAGCTGCGCCCGCTCCAGGGGCTCCGCCACGACTCGCAGCCCGAGCATCCCGCTGACGTTCCGCAGCACGTGGAAGGTCGCGCCGGGCCCCCACGGGCGCACGATGGCGCAGCGCGGAACCCGCATGTCGGGCGAGACCGTAGCATTGTAGGCCATCTGCGCGTTGCGCGTCTGGCTGCCATAGGTCACTACCGTCTCCGTTACGCCCACCAGCATCGTGGCCGCAAGATTACTGCCAAGGAGCTTGGACCAGAAGTGGAAGAGCGGCCCCAGCGCCACGCACTGGACGCTCGCGGGACCGATCGTGGCGGCACCGCCGGTCCAGCCTCCAGTCGCGAAGACGCGCCGATATATCTGCAAGATCCCAGACCCTCGATCCGCCGCGCCCAAGCTGACCGCGTTCCGCAGCGGCGTGAGGGAGAAGACGCACGCGGGGCCGCCCAGTGCCCCAGCGAAGAAGAGAGGCGCCGGAGGCAGACTTTCCAGAACGCCCCCCTGCGCCTCCATGCGCGGGACCAGCGGCCGACTGTTGGAAGGAGACGAAGCAAGGTTCGAGTAAGGGATCGACTACAGACATGACTTACCCCAAAATTTATTGCCTCGTCGAACCGATGACAAAAGGTAGAGTGTACCGTGATCGGCGGAATTCTATACGCACTTCTCATAGATTCGACGGGCAAATCAATTCAGGGGTATATCAATTCTGTAGTCGATCCCCTGCTCGAGATACAATCATGAACTTTCCGAGGTCTGCGGGGATTTCTTGGATTGGCGCTGGACGCCCTCGGAGACTCCTCTGGAGCGCCCCTAGCGCGCTCCGCGTGCTGGGAAAGGAGGTCCACCGCCGATCCGGGAAATCCGTGGGGACCTCCGAAAATGTAGGTTGTTGCTCTCTTTCCTGCTTCGAACTGTGGGCTATGAACTCTGGCCTATGCGTCTTGGGCCAATACGGCTACGGATGGCCGAAACATTTCCTGCGATGCCCTCGGAGCTCGTCTTATGTCGGGCCTGTCCCCCTCCAGGGGGATTTTCGACGAAAAATCAAACATACCCCCCAAATAATCAAACAATAATCCAAAAATAGTCCAGGGACTATTTTTCCAGCACTTTTGGCCCTTCTTGGTTTTTTTTTTTTTTTTTTTTTTTTTTTTTTTTTTTTTTTTTTTTTTTTTTTATATATATATATATATATATATATATATATATATAAACATGTTCGTCGAATCTACTCCTGTAGGGGGACACCCCCGACATAACAATACGGCCACGGATGGCCGAAACATGTCCCGAGGGGCCCTCGGAGCTCGTCGGAGGGCCCCCGAGGCCCGAGCCCCCCCGGGCAGCTCGCCAGGAGGGCAAGGGGGCCCTGGATCCGGGTGTGCCTCCCTGCAGGGCAGTTGTCAACACATAGGATTTTGTCATATGGGATTTTAGTACGGCAGGTTCGTGTCGTGACGACCCTGGCGATGGTTTATGACACCGCACCGGTCGTTCAACCTTGAACGATCGGCGGTTTTCCGATCGCCCGATCGTTCCATGTAGGCCGATTCTGGGCCACTGGCAGCGTTCAACCAACGCCCGCGGCGGGGTCGCCGCCGGTCGACACGACGCGAACCTACCGCACATGATTGATTTAGGAATGAATTGATGCATGAACTCCTCCTTGTTTTTAGCACTAGACCCCTGCATTCTTAATACATGGTCCGCACGCGGGGCATGCATTAAAAACTGCCTGTAGGGTCTCTGCTTTTCATCTTTAGCCGTTTCTGGCAGGCTGGGGCCTGGGAAGAGGCTGGGGAGGCCGCGGAAGTCTGAGCACATCAGGACAGCCTGTTTCGTCGCGAGATGTGCAGCACCTCGGCTCCGTCGCAGCCGCCTCCGAAAGAGACATACTCTGCGACACCGGGAAGCGGATATCCGGCGACCTCGAAGAACGAGGGGGAAGCAATAATAATAGTAATACAACAAACAGAAGAGAACGGATAATAAGAGGGAGAAGGCGGAGGGTTCCAAAACTGGCCATGGAGGCACCAGAACGCTCCCCGGACGGTCCCAGGGGGCCACGATTCGCCGAAATATGGCCCTGGACGCCCACGATGGCCTCCAGGCGGCCTCCGAAGCTGCCAAGACGCCCCAAAAGGCCCCCAACATGCGCCCCAAAAGGGTCCCCAAAAAACAAAAATCGTCAAATCCCTTGGAAAAAAACAAGCATTTTTCGCATGCTCGCCTAGTCGGTTTTCACAACGTCCCAGACGGGCAAAAAAAACGTTCAATATCGCCCCCAGACGGCCACAGGGGCCCCCAAGAAGGGTCGAAGAGGGTCCAACAACAGTCCCCGAAGCCCCCAAGACAGCCCAAAAGGGCCCCCAGACGGCCCCAAGACGACACCTGTTCGAGCCTTCGGCCCCAAGACGCCCCCAGCCTGCCCCAAGAACAACCCAAGAGGCCCTGTGGGACCCCCAAAATAACCTCAAAGGCCTCCAAGAAGCCCCCAGGAAGCCCCAAAGAGGCCCCAAAACTTGGCCCAAGATGCCTCGAGGCGGCCGGATATGGCCTGCAGACAAGCCAAGATGCCACCAAGAGGCCACAACAGAGCACCAAGAGGTACGATAACAGCAACGAAGCAACAGGAACGATGTCGGGCGCCGTGTCATGATTCGGACAAGCCTCGTGAACTGCAGTCCTGGAGGCGCAGTACCTTATACAGGGGTCGGCGGATGTGGCGTAAGCCTATAGAATAAGAGTAATGTAAAAAACAGAAGAAGACGGATAATAAGAGGGAGAAGAGGGAGAAAAAGAAATCGAAGAAAGCGACTCCTTCTTCTTCCGATACTGCTGCTCCTTCTAGTCCTCCTCCTGCTCCTGTCCGATTCCGCCTCGCTCCTCGCCTCATCCGAAATCCCGTAAATATCTTCGAACGGAGCCGTTGCCGGAGCGGTTCAAGGCGGCCCCGAATCATCCGTAAGGGGTCAATTTTGATCCTTCATGGCCAAGATGGCTCAACATTGCTCCCGAGGTGCATCCGACGTGTTCAGTCCTGCGAGATCGCCAACGTCTGGCCCCAGAGAGACCGAACGCACTGAACAAATGCCTTTCTACTCCTGCCTCCACCTCCTCAACTTTCCCTCGCTCCACCCCCTCCTCGTCGTCGTCCTCCTCCTCCTCTTCCCCATCCGTCGTGGGGCTCTCTTATGCGTCCATCTCGGGGCTGTCGTGGGGCCCTGTGGGCCTAAGTTGGGGTCCTCTTGAGGCCTTATCGGAGCCACCAGGGGGCTTCTGGCATCCCTTCGGGCTCTCGCGAGGCTGTCTTCTTTTGGGGGGGAGATCAGATTTCAACCCGCGCTCGGGCGGGGATCGTGCAGCATTCATACAGCATGCAGGTGCTGCAAGTGATTTGTAAAAGCCACAGTGCGCAGGCCAACAGAAGAGCTTCAAACAGATCGTGGAGCGGAGGCAGGAGCACGGTATACATACAACAGAGCGCGCTTGCGCCCAGACCGCTGCAGAGGCCAGCGGAGCAACACACAGTGAACACACTCCATCAAAGCTGGCGCCAGGCAAAGCGCGCCCGTAACATCAGCCGAGATCCCCTCCCGTCCACCATGCCTGCTCGTCGCCAGATCCCCCCCGCACCCCGCACCTCGCCCAGTGCACACGACAGGCCGCAGCAAGTACACGCAGAGGGGGCCAGCTCACAGCATCGCGGCCTTTCGCCCGCAAGGGATCGCGGGTGTCCTCGTCTGCCAGGATCAAGATGGGCCCCACCTCGGAGCGGGCCTCGGACCGCCCAACTTTAGCGGCACCGCCCCCGCGCCGTGCCCCGGCAGGTACTGCGCCGACTTCGCGGCCGGCAGCATTCCGAACTCCGCGAACTGCGTGTAGGCGCCGGGGCCCGGGGTGAAGGCGCTGGATGGCGGGGGCCTTCCGAAGCGCGTGGCCTTCGTGAACCCCTGGCCGGCTGGCCGGCTGAGGCACAGCTTCTTGGCGTCCACGGTGTCGAACCCAGGCCTCGGCGCTGGGAGGTCCTTCCCCGCGGCGGGCGCTGGCGCCAGACTCGCGGCGCCAGCGGCGGCTGCGCCTGGCGGCGCGCTCATGGGCCGCGGTGTCTTGGCGTTTCTCCGCTGCTGGAGGCGCGAACGCTGCCTCCGTTGCGGCGGGGGCACGAAGTCCTGCGGAGCCCTGAAGGCGCCCGGGCCAGGGACGTGGTCGTTCTCGCGGATGCGCTGGTCCAGCCAGGTGTCCCGAAAGCGGCGGTGCTCGCCCCTGCCCTGAGAGCCCTGCGGGATCCTGTGCCGCGGCTGCTGCCCCTTCGACGGGTGCGGGGCCCAGCCCGCTGCCCAGTGCTCCTCGGGCGGCACGTGGACCCGGCGCCCGTGGCCCGCGGGCGCGGAGACCGGCCTGCTCATGGCCGCGGGCCGCGCGGCGGCCGGGCGCCGCGCGGCCGAGGCGACCCGCCCTGGGGCCAGAGTGGCTCTACGGGCTCTCGCGAGGCTGTCTTTGGAGCCATCTCGGGGCACTTGTGGGCCGTTCTGGGCCTCTTGGGGCCCTCCCCGGCTCCTCCGGACGCGCTCTGGGGCCCTCTTGGTGCGCTGCTGGGGCGCCGTTTGGCTCTCCCGAGGCCCTTTGGGGGTCGACGCCGAGGTTGGCCGCTCCCGCGACTGCAAGGTTTTCTCGCCGACTTGACTGGCTGCCAATGGTTTCCTCGGACGCTGCGCCGTTTTTCGATCTGCTGTCCGTTGGCGCCGCCGCCGAAACTCGGGGGCGCGCAAACATGGACTAGCGATGCTTGGATTTGGCGCGCAGTCGCCAAATCCATGGATCGGGGGAGGTGCCCTCCCCAAAATGCGGCCGGTGCCGCCTCGCTCGGCGGCGGAAATTCGCAATGTCCCATGGAAACGGGACCCGTCGCTAATCCATGCCCCCTTGATCCATGTTTGCGACTGCCTGAGAAACATAATTGCTGTGAACCCTTCTTCATCTGGCGGGCGAAAGACGGTATGAAACAGAAGGCTCCACCATCGGGGACGCCTTCCCGGGGTCAGCTAGAAAGTTGATCCCCCCACCTGCCACCGTCGGGGCAAGAACTTCCCAGCCGCCCTGGGACAGGTGCCCCAGATGGCAGAAACATGTTTATCTTATAGTGTTCGTCGCCCGCTAAATCCCACTAGCCCTCTGGGCGCAGGTGGTCTAGGGCGTTTCCTTTTCAAACCTCCTTCCTTTCCCTGCTCGGGAGGTTTACCTCCCCCCCCCTCCGTGGGTCTGGACGGGCTCCCCCGCGAGGTGCCAGAGGATCCTTTTTGGCCCAAAATGGCTCCGAGAGGGCTTTAGATAACCCAAGGTGGCCTCCAAGATCGCCCAATATACCTCAAGATGGCTCAAGATATCCTCCGACACACATCCAAAAGGCCTCAAAACGACCCCAAGACGGTTTCAAGTATCCTCCGAGCCCTCCAAGGACCCCCCCCAAGAGGCCCAAATCCTTCAAATCCAAAGGGAAATCACTGCTTTTTGGCCTTCTCGCTTTTTCGCCTCCGATGGGCTCTTGAGGCCTCAAGATGGCCCTAAGACGGCCTAAGATAGCCCCAAGAGGGGCCCAAGAGACCCCTAATACGGCCCCAAGGGCGCCCACGAGCGCTCCAAGAGCGGGCCGAGAGGGCCCCAAGACAGCACTGTTGAGCCTCCGAGGGGGCGATGAGAATTAAGACCCCCCCTCTTTTTGAACAGTGGGGCCCAAGACGGCCCCAAGAGGCCTCCCAGCTCCCCCCAAAGAGCCCCAAGAGGACTCCAAGACCCCCCAAGAGAGCCTCAAGAGGCCCCAAGAAGGTCCCAAGAGGACCCCACGAGGGCCCCAAGATGGCGCCCAAATGGCATTACGAGTCTTCGAATATCCCCAAAGCCCGACTTCTCGTCCTCCTTGTCATCGTCCGTTCCTTCCTTGCTTCTTTCCTGCCGCCTCCCTGCTCCTCTTCAGCCTCCTCGCGCCGCGGTCCTCCTGTTCCTCCTCCTCATCCTTTCCGTCCTCCTTGCGTGCTTTTCATCCTCCTCCTCCTCCTCCTCCTTCTCCTCCTCCTCCTCCCACTCCTCCTCTTACCCCCAAGATGGCCCCCGGTACCACCAGCACCAGCAGCACCAGCAGTAGCACCAACATTAACAATAGCAGCAGCGGTATCAGAAACACCAATAAAAAACGACAACACCAGCGATACCATCAATTACAGCACCACCGACACCCTTCGCTACAAGAGATCTCCCATCCCACTGGTATTACACATGTCAAAACGCACGCGAGTTTAGTATACACATCAATGCAAGAGCTAAGATCAAGGATGTCCATCGAAATCCAACTCTACTCTGCGCAACACTGGCGTCGGACCGTAGATACAGCAACCTGCGCCAGACACGCTTCCCACAGGGAAGGGACACCATGTTGCATTTTGCACTGATTCCTGTCCTAAGCTTCATTGCGAGAAGCTGTTTGTGGTCCTTGTTTTCTGGTCCTAAGGTGCTGCCCACCCAGTTTGGACGCTTCCAAAGCGGCTGTGCGACCGCGTGCTTCCAGGCGTACCTTAGTAACCAACTCACCTGGCTATGGTTTCTGGGTGCTTCCACCAACTCACCAACTCACCTGCGAGCGTTGCTGCTCCAGAAAGATCTGTGGATGCAGATGTTGCCGCTGCAGCGATTCGAACCCATTGCGTTCCAGACCACGTGTGGGACATACTAGCGATGGGAGTGGGTTAGCAACATCAAGCATCGGGCTGTGGTCAAAATGTGAATACTGTTATGTGTGAAGCGTGCAGTGTGCTGCTTTGAGATGGACAGTGCCAAGTGTCCAATCGCCAGGGGCATTCGCTTATGACCATGAGACGATGACTCAACGCACGGCCCACCGTGCTAGCTGATGACCAGATGCATTTGACACAAACCACAACCTCGCCAGATGGGGCGGGATCTCGGGACCAGGTTTATCAGCTAGCTTGCTTTTCACGTACGTCCACGCGAGAGTAAAACAGTGCGTTCTACGACTCGCAAAGTAACTGCTCGCAAAGATGGCTTGGGCCCCTGCGGGGGGTGCACGATCCATTACATCCAGGCAACAATTTCTTTGCTCGGACTTTTGCGAGTAGGCACTCAACGAGGAGGGGAATACGCTCGGTGAGAGAAGGGATTCTTACCAAGCGCATCGGCCTCACCATCCTGGACGCAGCCGACCGTGCAAGGAGAACTACCTTCTCAAACAGCACCACGAACTCTGATGGAATAGCCTGGGGGGCTCGCCTCTACCCTCTGCCCGCAACTCTTAACAGTGCCAAAGTGACCGAGGCGGGGGAGCCCCCTCGGCGCTTGCAATGTCCAGGGGTTCCCGCGATATCCTCCATCGCGACCCCTGAGCAACTGTCAGCCCTGGGTCGCACAAGCTGCTCATCAGGAATGTGTTCAGACGTTGCCGCGATTAGCTCGTGAGTATTCGGCTGATGTGATGCCAACTGTTGGGGCCCATGAAATCTTCGAGTGTAAGTCCCAGCTGCATCGATACAAATCCAAACTATGTCCGGACCTGGCGAAGGGTCGGCTACACCATGTGACGTGCCCATCTTCACGACCTCGATGAAGAGCCACATCCCCCCGTAAGATCTTCTGCCCCAGCCGATCAGTCAGCCGTCGCTGACGTCATAGGTGCTCACGTTCGGCATCGCACCTTTTATGCCATCCATAGAAGTACCTATGCCTTGGGTTGGGCAGCTTGAATCAAAGAGGAGGAATAGGAGGAGGAACGCTTACTAATGCCATAATCAGAAGGAGGAGGACGAGGATGAGGATACGAAGGAGCCCCCCCCCTACCGGCGGGGGGAGAGCCAAGCCCACAGCCCGCCGCCAACTCAAGCACCTGGGCTGGCCGGGACGAGGAGGAGGCGGCTGGGGCTGGGGGGGGGAGAGGGAGGAGGAGGAAGAGGAGGAGGAGGAGGAGGAGGACGGGGGGGAGGAGGAGGAGCAGGAGGAGGAGGAGGAGGAGGAGAAGTAGAGGGAGGACGAGGACCAATGTGAACCCAAGACTCATCAACGATGTTGGAACACACCCTCCCTTCAGGCTTCTTCTTCACAGGCCACTACAAAGATTCATCTCCACGAAAGGAAATGCTCGTTGGGGGACAGCCGTGTGAAAATCCATTTTCAGGACGTCAATGCCACGAAACAACCTGCATGTTGCGTCTCGACGATCCTGAATCTTGCCAGAACACCATTCCTGGGCCCAGCACCACACATCAACATGACTCTTGCGCCCTGTCAATGCTGACTCGTTCCAAGACGCAATTTCTGGCACGTCAGCCATGAGACGCAACGACACTCTTGCAACTGTTAACAACTAGTGTGCGCGGCGCTAAGGCGAGAAACACATATTGAAAACGAACCGCCCTCAATCCGTGCAACTCTTGCGAATGTTTGAAACGAATGTGCACGGCGCTCAAGCGAGAACCACTTTGTGAAAACCAACCACCCTCAATCCGTGATGCTCTTCATTTTTCAAGCCAATGTGCGCGGCGCTCAAGCGAAAACCACATGTTGAAACCGAGCCGTCCTAAATCAGTGAACGTTTTACATGTTTAACAAGTGTGAACAACGCGGAAACGAGAACCACATGTTGAAAACAACTCGCCATCAACCCGTAAAACTCTTGCACATTTCTACAACGACTGTGCGTGGCGCTAATGCGAGAACCACATTTTGAAAACGACCCGCCCTCAATCCGTTAAGCTCTTGCACTTTTCAAACGAATGCACGTGGCGCTAAGGCGAGAGCCGCATTTTGGAAGCGGCCCGCCCTCCATCAGTGAAGCTGTTGTCAGCTTTCCAGCTCGATGCTCATACATGGTAATGAAGTCTCAGGCGAACCGCCTGGCCTGCCCTTCCAATTGACCTCGGAGTACGACAGGGAAAAAACTACGCATAAGGTAAAGGACTGGAGGAGAAGGATGAGGAAGAGGAGGAGGAGGAGGAGTAGGAAGAGGAGGGCGAAGACGAGGAGGAGGAGGAGGAGGAGGAGGGAAGAGGAAGGGCGAGGGGCAGGAGGAGGAGGAGGAGAAACAAAGGGCAGGAAGAGGAGGAAGAGGAGGAGGAGGAGGAGGAGGGAGGAGGAGGGTCAATCCCCCCAACGACCCCAGAAGGGCATCGAGGTGCTCGGCCCTTGAGCCACGCCCGAACACCTGCGCGCCCCTGGCTCGCAGCGCGCTGGCGTGGGCCGCGACCGCCTGCGCCAGCACCTCTGGGCCGCCGCGGGGGGAGGGGTCTGTCGACCGCCCTTGAGGGTCCCCTCCTCCAGGGCCCTCCGGGGTCCTCCTCCTCCTCCGCCTCCCTCCCTCCCTCAACCGATATGTGTGCGTGCTAGGAGCCAATGCGCGGGTTGTTAGACGTTCGAGGGGAACGATATTATTTCGCAGCGGTCCAACGAGTGCGCCAAATGCCACCAGCCAGGCAAGCTCTATAAACCGAAGCCTCGGATGAGTGGTTGAGATGAGGCGGCGAACAGCAGCAACAACCAGCTGGCGCTTGCCTCAAGTGACAGCAAGGGTAAGGGTGCTGCGCACAGTCCGGATAAGTCCATCCATGCCGCCACAGAGATCAAGGCCATGCTGACCAGGATGATCGCCAGCACGAGTGATCTCACAGTCAAGCAGTCTCTGCAAGAACAGCTCGAGCAAGTCGATAGATCAGGTGCGTCAGCCAAGCCAGTGGCGCCCGAGGAGGCGCGTCGGTGGGCAGATGGTGCATGGAAGAATGCCGACATGCGTCACGATCCAGCCATTTCACAAGTGAACAAACGTCGTGATGCTTTGGGGAAGGCAGAGGAAAAGGACGCTCAGATGGCCAGGGAGGTCGCGGGCATTCAGGCTCGCAGTGCGCACGCTGGCGCAGCAAGCGGACGTTGCCGCAGCAGGAGGCGGTGAGGCCGCCAAATCGTTGACGCTGAGCTGGAACGAAGACTTCTTCGCCAAGCTAGACGAGTACGAGTGCGAGCCATCGGAGAAGGACGAGCTGCGGAAATTCGAGGCAGAGTTAAAAGCGTCACCTCCGAAAGGTCGCAGGTCGAGCATCGGAAGCTGAAGGCGAAGCAAATGCAGAAGGCCATCGGGGAGAGGATGCCCAAGAAGCGGAAGGATGCCCAAGGTCAAGGCATTGCGGGCGGAGGTGCTGGCGCGGGCTCAGGGAGTGGTGCAGCATCCAGCGCAGGCGTGAGAGTGGGTGGAGCGGCAACCTCTTCGGGAACAACCGTCCCCGCTCCAGCAGCTGGTACGCCCAAGCCGTCGGACGATGACATCCAGCGTGAGGCCGAGAGGATCTCCTCCGCCAAGTTGGAGGCTAGGGCTGCGGCAGGCGAGGAGGGTGAGCATCAGCAGTGAGACTACGCAGAGCAGCTCGAGCCTGGCGGGCTACTCGACTTCGTAGATTTCCAGGTCGCCGTCGGGGCCAATGTTGAGGCCGACAGCGACTTCAGCATCTTCATCGTTGACAATGGAGGGGGTATGGCCGCGGTGGCTCATCCCCCTGTTCCTTCTCCAGTCCCTTCCCTTTTGGGGCAGCTGGGAGGGCGAGGTGGACGCCAGCGGGGGTGAGCAGCCAGCCGTGGCGCAGTAGCGACAGTGTCAAGCTACGGTCATGGCGGGCGACCCCCCGTCCTTTCCCCAGCCGCTTCCCTTCGGGGCAGCTGAGAGGCCGTGATGGACGTGGGCGGGGGTGAGGAGCCAGCCACGACACATCAGCATCAGTTTCGAGCTATGGCTGTGGCGGCCGACCCCCCTGTTTTCCCCTAGCCCCTTCCCTTCGGGGCAGTTGTGAGGTCGTCATGGACGCATGCAGGCATGAGGAGCCAGCAGCAACACAACAACATCACATTCAGATTGAGGACGACGGTAGGGTTAAGGGCATCACCGTCGAATTCTCATGAGAGAGTTGATGAACATCGGGTTTCAAATCTATTTTAGCGCATTCTCTTTAGGAATATTTCTTGTCGGGGACTGCTTGCCCGGGATTACCCCACGTCGGCCGCAACTCTTCCAAAGTTTAACTCTTTCGCAGTAGTTGAGAACCACTTAGCTGCGCAGAAGCAGGAGCGGTGGATTGCAAACAAAGAAAACTCATTTCCTTTTTTTTGTTGACCGCCGCTCGGCAAAAAACGGACAAGTCGAGCGACCGCGCGCATGAGGGTGGTGAGTTTGTGCTGGTACAGGGTCATGTGCAGGCGCATCGGGCAGGACCGTCCTGCGAATATCCAGCGCTCTGTTTGGCGTCGGGTGACGCCTTCGACGGTTTTCTTCCAGTCACCGGTATGATAGCGTCTTGCGGAATCGCTTCGTTCGATTCGCCAAGCGCGGACGCACCACGTTCAGGAAGACTCGAACCATATGTTCCGCTTGGCACCTTCCATGGGTAACCGTAGATAACTCCAATACAGCCCTTGCGGATCTCTCTCGGTGCGGGTTCATAGGGAGGGTTCAGGGCTACGTTTTCCAGTCTAATGTTCGGTATACACGCGTTACGGGTTTGGGCAGTCGCACGTCGATCATTTTTTGGCCAGCCGCTCAGCGTGCCCATACCTTGGGCAAGTGGAGGCGGTGCTCGATGTGTCGTGGGGCACGCAGTGCGGTCTAGCCATCCCGATTCGCAACGAAGGTCGCCAGCTCGTCACCCGATCGTTGCAAGTGGCATACCCTCTCCCGCAGGTCCCCAGGCAGTCAGTTCAGCGACAGCCTCACAGCACGTCCCAGTGCGCAAATAGAGAGAGAGAGAGAGAGAGCGCCAGGAGGCACGTGATAACTTCGCCTCGAAGTTTCAAGCTGCTTGAGAATCTTTTGGGGAGGATCTTGTGGGGACCAGGGGTTCACGAGAGGAGTTTTTCGCAGGGGGGTCAGGACACGCTTCGTTGTGACGAGAGCCCTTAGAATCCTGTTCAGTTTGGAGAGCTCGACGAGTCCCCCGAAAAGAAGGATCTGTGGGCCCACGAATCAGACGTTAAAGCTCCTCGGCCCTGTGGTGTGAGCGCCCAGGCGGAGCATCACGCCATGTGCACGGTGTATTCACCCAAGGGCCACCAACGAGTTTGCCCAGTCCGGCCCTTCGCTCTCCCCCCCTTGCCCTTCCTGGGCAGCCTTGGGAACCTTGATACCTCCCACTGCAACGTTCGGCCTGATATTGCTTGTCTTCAGCGTTGAAAATCAGAGAGGGCAGCGATTCAGTCGTTAGCAACATGTTCGGGGTATGGGTGCATGGGTTCTGAGAGAGTCGTTCTTGCGCATCAGGAGAAGAGCAGCGCAGGGCGGTCGGAGTCAAAGACCTCTAGTAAGTGTTGGGCTTGTACAGAGGCCAAAGCATGTGTGTCCGCAGCCTCTGCCAGACCTTGTGGCCGACTGGAGGGCGCGAGTTCACGTCGTTTTGCTCCGGCTACTTCGGCAGAAGGGTTCGAGGCAATGGCAGTGTTAAGGTCTGGCAGTTATCTGATGCAGGCGAAGCGCTCGTTGAGGATCTTCCTGGCGGGGTTCATGTTGTTATCCGTACTTGTAGGGGGGGGCCATCTTGGGATGCCTGGCTTCAGCAACCTGAGCTCCTTGGGAGTCTTGGAAATGGGGCTTTGGAGAGTCTCAAGGGCTTCGCTGAAATGGCCTCGAAGATGGCTCATGGGCGTGCTGTGCGCGCTTCCGATGTGTCAGGATTGGATCGTTGAGGAAAGCTCAGACAATATATTCTGCAAGCCTCTGCGGCTGCTGACGAGTTCGTCGTAGATGACCAAAGAGTGTTTTACCCAACATGCATCATCGATTCGAATGTCGAACATTTGTCGCGATTGTGGACAACATATGACCTCGACACTTCCGGCTTATGGCCTCTTATTTGCATGATCTAGGCAACAGCTGAGTATGACCCTCTCCCTCCTTTCAAAATTGCTGTTGTCAGGGCGGCTCTGAAAATGACAAGGATGGCGGGGATGGACATCGACCGTTTGTCTCGTCTCGCCTTCGAACGGTTGCCTGAAATCGCGCTTGCTGAATTGTGCAGGCCCATGGTCATGACGTGGCTGTGGCAGACTGCGCTGGAGCTTGGTACGTTATTCGCTAAGAACTAGGGATTCATAGCGATGCGTTCCCGAGTTGGAAGTTTAGCTCGGGAGCCTTGTGCGCGTGAGTGGTGCATCCACCGCTAACATCCGCAAAAAGGGACACGGCTATTGCGGGGAATCGTGCGCTCAGGGAAACTTATCTCGGGGTCCTGGAGTCGGAGGTTGGGGAGTGAAATCAAAATTGAACGGAAGGTCCCCAGCTGGTAAATCGGTTTTGGCTTCGGGTTCGTGTCGTGCGTGCGGGCGATGCGAAACTACGTGGGCGGGCGACAAGAATGACTCCGCTATTGCTAACGCGGAGCAAAACATTGTCCGAACCTCGCACGGTGGGCGGGCGGTGGCCAGGTTGTCCCGCCGTAGTGTCCCGTCGGTGTCCCGTCGCTGACCTGTGGGTGTCCCGTCGGTGTCCCGTCGGTGTCCCGTCGCTGTCCCGCGGGTGTCCCGTTAGTGTCCCGTCGGTATTCCGTTGGTGTCCCGTCGGTGTCCCGTCAATGTCCCGTCGGTGTCCCGTCGGTGTCCCGTCCGTGTCCCGTCCGTGTCCCGTCGGTGCCCTGTCGGTGTCCCGTCGGTGTCCCGTCGGTGTCCGGTCGGTGTCTCTTGGATGTCCCAATTGGTGTCCCGTCGGTGTCCCGATTGGTGTCCTGATTGGTGTCCTGGTGGTGTTCTGGTGGTGTTTCGATGGTGTCTCGATGGTGTCCTAGTGGTGTCCCGGTAGGTACCCCGAGTGGTGCTCTGTTGGTGTCCTGATGGTGTACCTTTGGTGTTTGCATGGTGCGCTGGTGTCACGTCGGTGCCCCGTCGGTGCCCGGTCGGTGTCCCGTCGGTGCCCCGTCGGTGTCCCGTTGATGTTCTGAGCGGTGTCCCGATTGGTGTTCTCATGGTGTCCTGGTGGTGTGTCGACGGCGTCTCGATGGTCTCCTGATGGTGTGTATAATGAGACTTGGGGGGTGAGATCGCAAAAAAAACGATACGCCAAACGGCTTCCAGTGTCACCATCACGGGCCACGGGATCGACAATGATACTGATTGAAAGAAGCTGAGAATGCCAGGGCAAGTTGCGGGCGACATGCGGAAGCAGGAACTCACGCTGTACGCAACGCTGGTTGAAGTCCCGACGCGGAAACGAACACAGGACGACGAACTCCCGGGCGC